CAATCAGTTGGTAAATTTATCTCATATTTGTTGTCTCATAACTTTAACTTTAAATTATCTTGAATATGGATACTGTCACCTTTCATTTTTCTATGATTCTATCATTTTCTATCTCTTTACCAACATTTCTTTTAGAAAACAAAAAGTAGTTGAAGAGATAAAAGCTACTAAATTGATATGCAAATCTTAGCTTCTTCTGAAAGTCAGGCTTGGCCTTGCCCTGTCCACCTGCCAAGTTTCTTTATTGGCCAGCAAGTGGTTGACCACCTACCCCATTTTCTCCCCCTTAAGTCACCAAGGGGGTGTACACATGTCTCAGCCACAATTCTTTGCAGTCCAATACAATGCAGATCAGTGTAAGGGTACCTATTTCCTTGCCAGGCAGTTGTTTTCCACCTTGAGAAGCACATTTTTCTTTCACACCATAAGACGCAAAAACATCTTGAAAACAGTAATTCTTTATGTTAATGTAAAGCTCACATTAAAAATGATAATATTCTCAAATGTGTCAGTGCTTCGAAAATAAAATATAACAGAGCACAACATTTCAGTGTAACATTTGTTAGTGTGTAAATGAGAGACCTGGACATAATATGGTCTAAATAGTTTTTCCAAGCACAGCAAATACTGTAAGCATGCTGGCTTACTTGAATAAGGCAGAGATCATGTGTAAACAATACCAATCAATTGGTATTCACCTTTCAGAGCTGCTCATTTTCTATAGGTTAATGCACTTTGCATACTGCTCTCGGAACTATTAAACATATCTGATGGGGAACATACATTGATATCTATATACTCCGTAATGACAAAATATATGTCTGGCAAAGAACACAAGCCATACTTGGGAGCTTGCAGACTTTAGGTTGAGGTCTAAAGTGACAGTATGTCACCCTGCATCACCTGCTGACACCTGTGCCTGTCACTGTTTACAGGAGGGTTGCTGTGTGGTGAACCTAGCAAAAGAACAGGGGGTGCATGAACGAGGATAGACAAGGATAATGGGAGTCAAGTGGGCAGTTGTGTGTGAGAGTGAAAAAACTACTTGGACAGACTCCGTGGGAAAGCAGTTGTAAGGGACCACCTGACAGCACCTCTAGCAACCCACTGGTCGGGCTTCCCCAGAGCGCGAAGTCTAAGTTCCGGAGCACTTGTTCACCAGAGCCCCTGATGGTGGGGATGGACTTGGAGCGCTCCGAGACCAGGTCGCGACTACTGGATATACCCACCAGTGGTAGAGGAGTCCATCAGGGGCTCGCACAGGGTGAGAGTCTGATGTGAGGGGACCAGGGGGTCCTAGAGGGATGGATGGATAGATGGATGGATGGAGGAGCAAAAGCTAAGTTAAACAAGCCGAGTCGGTAGCCGGGGGGTCGGTGCGGTACAAAACAGTAGGCAAAGAATGGTCGGGTCACACGCCAGGTCAATAACAGGAGATCAGATCTAAAGGGGAACATCCAGGAGCGAAGTCAGGCAAGCCAGGGGGTCATAGCAAGGTCAGACAATCTGGATCAATAGTACTCACAACACAGGTATCAGATAACAGGAATTGCAGAAAGACCATTCGGCAACAAGTGTCTGTGCAGGGCTGGTTTAAGTAGCCCACCCTGCACCTGACAGGCGCAGCCTAGGTCCTAGTGCCTGCCCAGCACTGTCATAGATGGCGGGTGCGCCTGGGTCCTAGTGCCCTGCTGCCTGCATGTCTTGACAGACACCTACCCATGTGCAGACCCATGCGTCGCGATGGTCCCTGACAGCAGTTGTGTGTGAGTGCTGCTATGACAGACTGCAATTTGGCAAAGATTTTGAGGAGCAGGGCTAATGGGAGCAGTCAGTGTGGTTGCTCAACTGACTCTGCTGGCCGCTGCAGGGCCAGGGGTGATTGAGTGACTGGAGGCAGCAGTGCACAGGAGTTGGTGTTGTTGGTGGTTATTTATTTAGTAATTATCAATAAAGGTCTGCACACCACTATGAACTACAGATTTTGTAACCAACAATATATTATCATTTAGGGTGCTTAAATGATAAGATCACCTTTCTACAAAAAATAATAAATGTACATTTGTTTGTAGTAGGAGTAACAGACTGCCTTGCACCCCACCCACCTGGGTGCTTCTGTCAGAGAATTGCTTCCTCACCACTGGGCCACAGGACCAAGGGATTATAGCTGGGCATTGCAACCAAGAACTAGACAACACTAGCTTAGGTATAACTGGAATGCTTTCATTCTTTCTTTCTTTTTATTATATCTTTTATTGAATCTTTTTTTTCCAGCACTTAAAACAACACTCTTTCATATTTATCAAAAGAAAATACAAACCATTCCCCTGTAATCTCCCACCATAACCCCCCAAATCCCATCCCGCCCAACAATTTTCCCCAGTCCATATATTTCTGTCCAAGTTTTTCCATTATTCCTTTATCCAAATCTATATCTTTTTTCTTCAATCCTCTCCTCCTATAATCTTCATCTCACCACTCTCTTTTTTTCCTTCTCTTTTTCTCCCCTTCCTCTTCTCTACTACCTCTCTTTCTCCCTTTCCTCTCTCTTCACTACACTTCTTGATCATTCAGTTCAATTCTCCTACGTCAGGCCATCTGGAGCTCCCACTACTTCCAGATATTTTTTAGATGTCTTAAAGTCATACCATCTAGCCCATTCCTTTCTAAACTTTTCCATTTTGTCTTCATCTATATGGTATAGCTCTTCCATCTTGTTTAATGTATATAGTCAACTCTGTCAATCCAGTCCTTCAATGTTAGGGGCTCCTGTACCTGCCAAAATCTGGGAATAAGTCCCTTGGCCGTGCTAATTAGATGGTATGATATGCTGTTTTTACATTGTTTCACTGATATCTCTGATCTATAAAATAAACCCCCCCCTGATCTTTCTGCAAGGTGATCATCAGTATCTCCTGTATAACTTGGATTATATCATGCCAAAACATCTGTATTTTAGGACAGTCCCACCATTTGTGTGCCATAGTTCCCTTTATCCACATCCCCTCCAACATAATGGTGATATCTCACCTCGCTGTCTATGTGCCACACTCGGTGTGAAATACCATCTGGTTAAACATTTATAGTTCATTTCAACTGTGCTCATATTAATTGCCCCATGTGTTCATTTAAACATTTTATTTTTCTGCTGCTCACTCTTTTTTGTTCCCAGATCCTCTTCCCATTTCACTAAGAACAGTGGAGGACCAGCTCCCATCAATTCAATAAGGATCTTATACTGTATATCCTAGAGGTGACATGCTTTGGAACTCTGCTTGAGCTCAGCATTTTCATAAATGGGAGTATATCCTCTGGCGTCCTCAGTGACTGAGGGAGCTTTGAAATAAAATGCCTTAATTGATAATATCTCATTTCATCTATTACAATAAATAAATCTTTTTTTCTTTTTAAGTCTTGGAACGTGTACAACTCCCCCTTATCTACTATATCCCTCAATCGTGCATCCCTATTTTTAAACCACTTCCCCGAAATATTGTCATTCCCTGGTGGGAAAAACTCTGTACCTACTAAGGGAATCAACAATGAATTATACTGCCATCCCATATGCTTATGTACTCCATCCCACACTCTCAAAACCTGCCAACTTGCTACCAATTTCATCCATAGTGCAAAACTTTTGTGGTATCCAAATAATCTTCTCTAATCATGTGTTGCTTATAAAACCTTCCATTTTAACTGTGCTCATATTAATTGCCCCATGGGGGGGGCAAAAGGGAGAATAAAGAGAGGATTTTACCGCCACCTCCCTCTCCGCCCACCCTTGCACCTCTCCATCACCTCCCACCCCCCATCCAAAATTCTGTCTATTTTCTCTTTTTTATTGGTTGGCTGCTGCTTCTCTTTTCTTGGTCTTACGCTTTCAATTGACCCCTCTGACCATCCCTCATTTTTTTTGTTTTTTTTTTGTGTTTTTTTTTTTTTTTTTTTTTTTTTTTTTTTTTTTTTTTTTTTTTTTTGTTATGTCCACATTTTGCAATTCTAGTTTTTCACAGACGTCACTAAGTTCCTCTGGGAATCTTAGCCTTGCCGACTTCCCATCCTTCCATCCAATCAAGCATGCTGGGAAACTCCAATTGTATCGAACTCTTTTCTCCCTCATCTGGTCCAATAGGGGTTTCAATAATTGTCTTCTTGCTAGAGTCTCAGATGCAAAAAAAATTGCAGCTTCGATTCTCCAAATTTTACTTTGGGGATCTCCCGCAGTTTTTTTCCATATTTTCTCTCTGTCCTCATAATGATGGAACCGAACGATTATGTCTCTAGGGATGGCTAATGTTAATCCTGGCGGGCATCTTAATCTGTGAAAATCTCGATTTTGAGTCTGATCTGCCAATTATTAGGTTAAACACTCTCCTTATTTTTTCCCTAAGGTCCTCATCATGTACATCTTCTGGTAGTTCTTGGAGCCTCAGATTATTTCTTCTCTCTCTATTCTCTTGGTCTTCCATTTTAAAGGAAAGCTTCCTCTGTTCCCTTCTCATCCCCTACACCTGCTTCTCCAGATTGGAAATCTGCTGGGCTTGTGTCTCCATTTTCTCCTCTGCTTCTTCTACTCTTATTAGCATTAGTCCAAGATCCTTATGGATTACCGCCATTTAATTTTTCATACAGAGTTCTAATTTTGCGAACATTTCCACCATCTCTATTCTTGTAGGAATTTGTGATATTGTTCTCTGTTGTTCCAAGACTTTTTGATCATTTACATTATCAACCCTTCCATAATCATTGGTCTCATTCATCTCCCATCTTCCAAATGATAATCTAGATTGCTCTCCATCAGATCTTTTACTTCCTTCCTGTTGTTTCTCCATAAATCATATCTCTGGACTTTTTTTCTTGTAATGGCATATATTTCTTTATTGTACTGGTATTTTAATTGGGTTGGGTCCCCCCCTTTGGTGACAGCTCGTGAGGAGAGGAGAGCCGGTAATCGGCTTTCCGCAGAGGGGACATGTACACTGATCATCAGGGCACTGATGATCAGTGTGCCCTGATGATCAGTGTAGCCCCAGCAGTGCCACCTGTCAGTGTCCATCAGTGCCTTGTGTCAGCGTCCATCAGTGCCTCGTACCAGTGCCCATCAGTGCCACATCAATGCCACATATCAGTGCCTACCAGTGCACATCAGTGACACATATCAGTACCCATCTGAGCTGCCTTTCAGTGTCACCCATCAGTGCCAGTCAGTGCCACCTATCAATGCCAATCAGTGCCACCTATCAGTGCTGCCAGTCAGTGCCACCTATCAGTGCCAGTCAGTGCCGCCTATCAATGTGCATCAGTGCCACCTATCAGTGCCTGTCAGTGATGCCAATCATTGCCAGTCAGTGCCGCCTAACAGTACCAGTCAGTGCTGCCTAACAGTGCCAGTCAGTGCCGCCTATCAGTGCCACCTATCAGTGCCATGTATCAGTGCTGCCTTTCAGTGCCCATCAGTGATGCCTGTCAATGCCCATCAGTGCCACCTACCAGTGCCTCCTCATCAGTGCCCATCAGTACCATCTATTAGTGTCCATCAGTGCAGCCTATCAGTGCCCATCACTGCAGCCTCATTAGAGCACATCAGTGAAGGAGAAAAATCACTTATTTACAAAATGTTATAACATAAGCTAAGAAACTTTTTTTTTTTCAAAATTTTCAGTGGTTTTTGGTTTGTTTAAGAAAAAATAAAAAACCCAGAGGTGATTAAATGCCACCAAAATAAAGCTCTATCTGTCACAAAAAAATGATAAAATGTCATATGGGTACAGTGTTGCATGACCGCGCAATTATCACTCAAAGTGCGACAGCGCTGAAAGCTGGAAATTGGCCTGGGCAGGAAGGGGGTATAAGTGCCCTGTAGGCTTGTGGTTAATACACTGTTCCTCAGAGAGTTACAGTCCACCCTTCCCTTCACTGTACACTAACACGGCCCCATCACACCCACAGATGACTCTTCCTTGCCTTTAAAGAATACTGGTTGTTTGAGGTAAAGAGTGCTTTTTCTTATTTCAGGCTATCTTCTTGCCATTAGGTCTTGAGGGCCCAAAGTGAGCTAGTCTACCTGTTTGATAGTCCTATCTTCTCACTGGGGACTGTAAGACCACCTCAGGTTGAAGGTATTGGGGTAGTTCCTGAAAAGCAGACCTGCTAACACTAAATGAGATTCTGTGAGAAGTATTGTCTTTTCCTTAAGACACAAGTAACAATTGATTTTCCACATTCCAATTCTGTTTATGCTGTGTAACCAAGCCATATTGAAGATTGCTATAAACCTCTTACTGAGTTTACTTCGGTCTGTGTGTGTATTCAATTTCTGGTGGTGATTTATTTCAGTTATTTCAATTAAGAGTGTACTGTGGTGTCAGCGGGGGTTGGGCTTTCAGAGGGGGGCCCAAATCCACAGATATATATATATATATATATATATATATATATATATATATAAAATTGATAATGATGTTGAACTAAAACAAAATTGATGATGACATCTCCTGTGCCTGGGTTACCCAAAACTTTAACCTGTACTGTTATACAGTAGGTCATTTTGTATATTTATAATGATGGCATGGTAGCCATATAAAGGTTTACTGTTTTTTTTTATGCAGTTGTTGGTCATGGCTGGATTCACATGCTAGTCTGTCCCTATAGTAGGGAGTATATGCTGTAGCTATAGCTTGTGACTTTGTCATTTCATAACATTTTGTAGAGTAACAGGTCGCCTAAGGGGTTATCGTTCCTGTATTTCCACAGTTCTTCAAGGAGGAAAACAAATGAAGTACACATGGTTTTCTTCTAGTGGATGACAAAGTAAGGATTGGTAAGCGACCCATATATGACTCTCCCCAAACACTGCATCACTGTGACAAGATAATTACATGTATTCCACGATTATCTCTCCACAGAGCTATTTGATCATTATATGTTTAGCAACTGTTCCTTTAAACACAGAACAGTAGAGATTTTGTTCTTAATTAATGTGTGTCCAAGACCAACATGTGATATGCGTGCTACAACAGGAAGCACATTTCTACATGCCTGGCTCTCATTCACTCTGGCAGACATAGAGAAATCAATTAGTAACATGCACAGGTTGGACTGCTTTATATTCCATCCAACAACTCTAATAGCAGAATAGAGTTCCCCAAGAGCTTTAGGAGCTAGATAAGCTCTACATCTCCATGATTAATCATACATGTTTGGCGCACATTACAGTCCATGATGCTGTTTACCCTGGACTGCATGTCGAGTGCTATTAGACCACCTGCTATGTTAATCTGCTACGCTTCTGGATCTCTGGCTAGGATCTCTTAGTTTTCCCAAGTCACGACTAAAAATATGTACCATACCCGACCTAAGTAACGTTATCAAGGTAGAATAAAAATGAAAAAAAAAAAGAATTATTCAGCACAGTGACTTCATACATGAGTAGCATACTAGTTTTTCAATTGTCAATATGGGGTTTTTATCATGATAAGTCCTTGTATTCTACTGCATTTTTATTGACTGAACTAAAGATTATTCCTCACTGTCCTTGTAGACTGTATACACATACAAAACAATGTAATTTGAGTGGAATGCAACCATGGAAAAAGAATATTGGAAGGTATGGGAAAGTGACTGGCAGGAAGGTTGGCAACACAAGGGAGCTCAGCCATTGTGAGAAGTGGCCAATCTTTATCATAATTTGTGATGAGTCACCACCTTTCCCTTTTCAGTTACCTCAAACTCTTACTGTATCTGTGGTATCGTCCCTTTATTGTCATACAGGTAGTTGACATATTTGAAATGATTACAATGTGTGTAGGGTTGTTTTGTGCTTTCTTGATTGCTGCACTAAACCTTCATACAAAAGTAGGGATTTTAGAAGTTCAAGGGCTGGGATGGGCCCAGTGAAACCCTAGTCCTTTCACCTCTTCTAGAAAGTTTTATAAGATGTTCTCAAACTGCATGTAACTCGAGTATGCTGTATATTAACTGTACATTGGTAAGCAATATAATGACTTTGAAATTGCTGACTTGTTGATGGACTTCCCCCAACTCATACCATTCCAAATCACCCACCGCTAGGAATTGGTTTACCACCAACAAGCTATTCACCTCCTGCTGTGCCAACCAGCGGCTAGCCTCCATTCCTTCCTCCTATTCCACCACCAGGGATGCCTCCGGTTGCAGGTCTAGGTCGGGCAGCCTGGATGAGATAGCATGGAGCTTCTGCGGTAGGAACCTGAACTCTGAGAGGAAGTATTGTTCTGAGCAGTTTAAAAGCCTAAATAAAAGCAGACATGCTTGTTTTAAAATATGTAGATTATTTTAAATTGCACAGCCCAAACAAGTACGGTGGTTTCCATTAAAAGGCATCATCACTGAGCGCTGATTGTTGGGTCCGGGCGGATCAATGTAGTGTTTACATACCCATTGCTCTCCCTGTCAGTCAGCTACTGCTTATGCTGTCCAGAAAATAATCCAACTTTGCTGTTGGAAAATTTATTCCTCTTAGGTGACCTGGTTCTCACTCTAAGAGCCTGTCTCAATGGGCTTTAGATGTGTGTCAGTGACATCAGTTTGAGATCATTCGGAATTAATCAACAGGTGCGTTTGACCTGCACATTCTTCTGACATTCACTTGACCTGCATCAAACAAATTTTGCGTTCCAATAGACTTGGAATGCAAAACCTGTTTAACACTAGATTGTAAGCTCGAAGGAGCGGGGCCCTCGAACCCCTCGTGTATTGAATCGTATTGTTACTGTACTGTCTCATGTACTGTCTCCCATTATAATGTACAGCGCTGAGCAAACTATTGGCGCTATATAAATCCTGTATAAAAATAATATATATTAGCTATATATTAGCTAGTAATAACCTTGGATAGAGCATGGGATAGAGCATCTATCCCATGCTCTATCCCATGTGTCCCATTGGGGAGATGCTATATCCCCAGTGTCCCATTGGGGAGATTCACCTTCATTTTTTGTCCCATAGCAGCCAAATAGGAAGTAAGAGGAAATCCATGCAAATTAAGGGAATTCTTTGGGGACCCCTAGGTCACCAGATCCGGAGTCCTTATTGGAAGTTTTCCCCTCTATTACTTTTCTGCGGACAACTCAAAATGTAAGATTTTCTTTTACTTTCAATGATCAATGTAAACAGGACAAAAAGAGAAGGTGACTCTCCCTAAGGGGGGCACAGACAGCAAACAAAACAAAAACTGACACACATTCTGATACCTCTCTACTCTATCCAAAACATGAAAAAGTTTTACATTTAGTTATACTTTACATTTTCTTGATCATAAACAATTATAATTTTTTTTAATAAAATATTTGTATCACCTTTTTATCATCCTTTGTTACATCTCATTGCTACCAACTTACTTACCTACTGCTGTCTATATAAATACATCCAGCAATGCTTGCATGGCATTTTCATGACAATAGTGTACAACATCTGCATAATATGTACTGAGCAGCCACTTGTACCTTTTTACTAGTTTTCCATGTGGCAGAGTGACAACAAAGGAACACAATTGGACAGCAGGTGCCTGAAAAGGAAATTCTGAAAGATCAGACGTGATACTGTAGACCACTTCAGACTGACCCTTTTTGCAGCTATAGCCATGTAAAAAATTAAAAACAAGTGCCTATACTGTTTAAAATCCAGTACTGCACTGTGTCACTCTGCTCTGCACATTCTGATCCACTAGGGACCAATCAGCTGACAGCTTTAAGATTTACTGTTATGGAAGGGGGAAGAAAGCAATTAGAATGACACAAACTGTGCAGAAGAAACACAGATTAGGGGGGAACAGAAGAAAATCAGGAGAGGTGACAGGACCACAGAGAGACACAGAAGAGTTAAACTTACAAGGATAATGTCTCATCGTATCTTCCTGACATTCTCTTCCCTTCTCCCTCACCTACAGCCTGTGAATGTCAGCACTGTAAAGCTTCTGTCAGTCTTCCCCACTAGCTAAGCCAAGACACACAATAAAGCTGGAAATTTTCATGTTTTAATTGAGGAAAATTTTCCAATATGGAAATGACTGCTCTGGGCTTCAACAAAATGGTGACCTCCAGCAAGAAGAAACAGGAGTAATGCTGGGGGCAATTTACAGCATACGCTCATTTTGTCAGCATAACTATTAATGTAGAATGTACTGTATGTTTTTATTGTTAAGGAACATTAATTGTTATCACTCATACTACTTTAGAGTTTAACATATTAAGCTTTTAGTGATTAAGTGTTTGGGAGAGAAACAGAAACTGTAATATATTCCTATTTTATAGAAATGTATTTGTGGGCTTTACATACTTTAATGATAAGCTATCCAACATTGTTGAAGTTAAAGATATCAACAATTACCCAAAAGTTGGCCATTATAT